ATAGATAGATAGATAGATAGATAGATAGATAGATGATAGATAGATAGATAGATGATAGATAGATAGATAGATAGATAGATAGATAGATAGATGGAAGGACAGATAGATAAATATAATTTCTTCTCTCCAGTTTCTCTTTCTCTTTTCGCACATTCAAATGTGTGTCTCTTTGTCTAATTTTCCTCTCCTATTTTCTGTCTCTTTGTCTTTTTGTCTTGCTCTTGAAGGATTTCTCCACAAAGCGACATGAACATCCCCTTTAGAGCTATAGAAGCAAAGAGCAGGACACGAGAGTTGAAAGGCGTTGCATCCGAGGGGCATGAGCGGGTGGAAGGAGGGAAGTGGGAAGACAGGGGGCTGCAGCTTTCCACTATAAACCCTCGGGATTACTCAATTGTTTTCACTATTTGCTTTAGTCTGATAAAACTGAAAAAAGAGTCAACCAACCGCATAACATAACTTCCATGAAAAGCCACAGCTCAGATTTCAAGTTCAAAGAAATTACGTCAGAAAGTGAAACGAAGGGTCGCTTTTCAGAACTAGGCAGAGCGGTAAACGTTCTGCAGTTTTGTTCTTACAGATCGCGTGGATTTGATTTTCTATCGGATGTTTCGTTTCGAGTATGTTCAGTGCACCGAGCGGTCCACAAGTGCTTTCTCATCACTCCCCCGTCTCAGCCTCACCTCCACACTCCTTCCCACCACACCAGAGCTGAAACTGAGGTGCAGTGACCTGCCCAAGGTCACCCGGGTATTACAGAGCCTTCCTTTGTTCATATTAGTCATGATGCTCCCAAGTCACCAAAGAAAAACCAAAAGGGATTCAGGATCTTACCTTAAAAGGAGCTTCGCTGTGGTACTGATACGTGGTGTGAGAAGCGTAGGGATTCCCAGAATGAATGCTCGGGGCCCACATTCAGAATAAGCGCCCCAAGTTCCCCGCATTCTAAGACCAGAGAAACAGTCCTTTTCCCCACGGACCGCTGAGAAATGCATTTCAACAGAGCCGACCAGAGCTTGTCTTCGAGGGAGAGTGCAGCTGAGAGAGGGGAGGCCCAAAGAGAATCACATCCCATTCCCAGTAGGATGTCCTCTGGGCCACAAGGATAGTTTAACGGCCAGGGTGCCACCAGAGAGGAGGGAGGAGCTCTGGGCAGTGATGCTGGGGGTCCGGGCTGTGGGCAGCGTGCGTTGGCTGCATGATCAAGGTCAGGCCCTGCAAAGGTGTGTAAGCCAGATCCCATCCGGGTCAGCAGGCCGGGAGCAGCCGAGACTGTGGGGTGCAAGGTGGCTGAGAGCCACTGATTAAATTAACCTGGGCTGGGGCCTGGCCATTGAGATTTTGTTTGTTTTAATGAAATCCTCCAATTGATTCTAATAAGAGGCCAAGGTTGAGAACCAGTAATACACATGTTATCAATCTTTATAATAACCTTGTCATATAATGGGGGGGCTATGATTACCCTCATTTTACAGATGAAGAGATAGAACTCAGACAGATTAAGCAATCTGCTAAAGGCAACATAGCTAGCGACTGACTAACCTAAGAAGGCAGATTGGCCTTGTCTGATGCCAAAGCTCACTCTCTCTTTACTCTGCCAGGCTGACACCAAGCTGCTAAAAGTTCTTTTTTATTATAAAACTGAAAGCAGAACCCTCATTCAAGAACTTCCAATGTTGGCAAGACCTCAGCTTTTAGCTCTGGCTTGTCTCACAGAATGAGAACCTCAACTTGAAAATGCACTTTACAAAATTAACATGCATCGTGTGCTAACTTACCACGAGTTCTAAGTATTCTACACACGCCATTTCATTTAACCCTCACAAAGGTTCTATAAGGCAGATCATAATAATGATCCCATTTTACAGAAAAGAGAATAGACACTTACAAGAGCTCAAAAACTTACCCAAGGTTGCAGAGCTAGCAAGTAGAAAAATCAAAACCAAATCCAGGTCTTTTTGACTCTAGGGCCCTAGGTGGTGACCATCAAGCCAAAGCCTTGGGAGAAGTGTTAAAATGCAGACACCAAGGTCCTACTTCCTTACTCGACTCCAGTTCTGATCTGTGGGTCTGGTGTGGGACTCAGGCATCAGCATTTATAATAAGCACTCCCGGTGGTTCTCAGCCTCAGAGGAACATTGCATCAGGCCAGCGGGCAGAGTCCCCAGCTGGGGCAGGTGAGGAAATGGGAGGATCCTTTCCCACAACGGTCAGAAGCAGTAGCAGGAGCAGCAGCAGCTGGGTGGAGTGAAAGGCACTAAAAAAAAGACTCCTTGAACCCCAATAGGTTTCCTGTCTGCTTGTCACACGGTGCCTGGAATTTCATCATTATCAAGTCACTTCTCTCCAGAGCGAAGTTCCGTGCTCCCTCCTCTCCCCACTTCCCCTCATTTGCCTGGGTGTGCCAGACTCTGAAGAAGAGAAACTTATTTTTACTAGGGTGTGAATGACTTTGTTGGGTTCCTTCCCTAGGGCATTGGCAGGAGCAG